ACCCCCCACAGCCCCTCCCTCCCTATGGATCCCTTCCCTGGGCATAGGCCTGAGTGTGCAGCCTGGGTAGCTGCTAGCACCAGAGATGGGGCCTGTCTGCACCCAGGGGAGTCTCCTGTAGTCAGTTCCAGTTCCGGAAATCCTGGTGGGGGTGGGTGGCAGGCAGCAGGGGGTCCATTGGTTTATGGTAGCTCTCTAGGGCTGGCTGCCCACACCACCTACCCCTCAGCAGGCTGGCTCTGGACATAGCAGTTGGCCAAGTCCCAGCCAGCCTGTCTTGGCAGCTCCTCCTCCTGCCTGCCAGGGTGACTTCACTTTCTCAGGTCTGCTGAGTGATGTGCAGGTCACTGATTCAGCCCTGAGCTCAGCCAGGACACAGCAGGAAGAGGAGGGGCTGGCCCCACAGCACCCCAGGACAGGTTCCTGGGCCCTCCCACCCCAAGGCCCCGTGAGCTTCCCTTCCTTCTTCTCTCTGTGGCTGGGTGCAGGCCAGACCTCAAGAGGCAGCTGGAGGATGGGGAAAGAACAGGGAGTTTCTCTGTGGAGGCTGAGAATCCCCATCCAACCTCGCCCCAGGACCCCCCAGCACAGGTCCAGTGGCTTCCCCTTGTTAGAGGTGAATGTGATCCTGGGCATCATTTCTTTGGGGGAAAACTGGATTCTTTGGGGCTCCAGTTCCTCTCTGCTGCTGGCTGTCCTAGGCTGTCAGCCTCACATCCCATGTTCTCCTGTAGAGGGGGGAAAGGCACCCCCTCCCCCCTCCCCCCATGAGGCTGAACATGGCCGCATTCTCCTATAGAAGTTCACTGCTTCTTTGAATAAACATAGAAATTGATCATCCCAGTCTTAAAGAAAGTTACATTTGTCTCAGTGGCCTTGGCTTCTTAGGAAACCTCCCAGAGAGCAGTTCAGGGAGCTGAAATTTACCAGCTCCAGGCCTGACTGGGACAGGCCTGCCCCTCACCCCTCCTGACTGCCTGTTGACCAGTGCCTCTACCTCCCAGCTCCCTAGCTCTTATATTTCTTCCTGGCCAGGCCTCTAGAACCCCAGCCCTCTGCACTGCCCTGGATGCTGACAAAGGCTCTCCTGCCCCACTGCCCAGCTTTTTCCCTCCTCCTGCCTTTGGCCCCACAGAGGCCGAGCTCCACGTGCCTCTCCCTCTGAGAAATGGCTGAGGGTGCGCTGTGCAGGGGAACCTGGAGCTGGGGTAGGGATGAGGGGTTGGGAGAGGGCACTGTTCTCAGAGTCCTCTGGGTCGCAACTCCAGCAGTCCCAGATCTTGCATCCCCATCTGGCTTCCATGTCCTCTGTGCAAGGGAAAGGGCTCAACACAGGGACTCTGTGGAAACGGCGCAACTGGTGAAAGGAGCGGCTGTGCTTGAAGACGTGCGCAGACCCAGGGTACTGATGGCCTTTCCAGCACCGGCCCAGCGCCTGGTTGCTACCCCCACACTCCTATCCCTGCCAGGGCTCGCCCGCTCCTACCGCGCCCTCCCGCTCCTACTGCGCCCTGTTTTGACCCCTGCCAGGCGGCGCGCCCTCCCCCGCGTCCTGCGCCTGCACCTTCCCGCACCGCTCCTACCCCTGCTCCAGGGACCCTGCTCCTACTCGTGGCCCGCTGCTCCCACCTAGCGCTGCCCCTTCCCGCCCTCCAAAGCAGTCGGCACCCTCCTGGCTCGACAGTGATCAGAGCAGGACGCGCAGTGGCTGAATACTCTGGAGTCCCTGCCCAGAGGTGCCACTCTCATGTCAGCCACACCCAGGCAGACTTGGGGTGGCCAGGCTTAGCACCATACCCCGCCGCGGAGACCCACCGGCCAGAGCCACCTTCCCTCCAGTAGCAGCCCCAGCGCGCACTGGGGATACCAAAGGCGACATCCGTTGCTGCCGCGGCTGTTCAGCAAAGATAAGTCCTGCCAGCTGCAGGTTGCCAAACCCCGCAGCGGCCTGGAGCGCCAAGCTGGGAATCGACGCTCTGAGAATCCCTTTCTGCTTGCGCAGCGGGATTCGTCACTGCCAGGTCGGCTGGTAGCGCACTGGCGGGGCGGCGTCAGGGCAGGTCTCCGGCAGGAGCAGCCGCCTGCGGACAGCGAGTCAGGGGTCAGAACCCAGCACAGAACCCAGTGCCCAGAACCCAGCGCAGCGGGAGTTCCCAGCGTGGTTGTCCCGAACACCAAAGCCGCGTCCTAAAGCAAACTGGACAGCCCTTTCGGGGCAGGTGTTGGGGCAGGGCCAGGAAGCCCAGAAAGCTGCGGCTTACGTGGGATTTGCTGTTTTTGCAGATGTCAGAGTCCTGGTTTCCTTTCTGAGCTCTACCTCCTCATTCCTCCTCCGGCTCTGCTGCTTTGGATGGCAGAGGAGTGCAAACGCTGCTTTGCTCTTAGGCAGCGCTGCTTTGCTCTCCTGCATTTTGCCATCCTGGTCCTTAAAAACCTAAAAGCCTGTGGTTTCTGGGGTGGTTCCCTTGGAGGGGCTGCAGTGTGCTGATACCCAGCCTGCAGCTTGGGAGTTCTGTGCCACTGTCTGGCAGGGCACCTGAAGATGTGGCTTTGGGGCCATGGGAGGGTTCAGGGCAAACATTTATGGGTGCAAGTTTTGGGGCTGTGTGGGGCCGGGGGTTCTGCTTCACTGAAGACGGGGTGCAGTATGTGGCTCTGGGTGTCGGGGCAGGGTTGCTGCAGTGCAGAGGACAGAGGTGGTGTCCAGGAGGAGGAGTCCTGGGCATCAAAAGTCAGGGTGAGGCCGGGCGTGGTGGCTCAAGCCTGTAATCCCAGCACTTTGGGAGGCCGAGGCGGGTGGATCACGAGGTCGAGAGATCGAGACCATCCTGGTCAACATGGTGAAACCCCGTCTCTACTAAAAATACAAAAAAATTAGCTGGGCATGGTGGCACGTGCCTGTAATCCCAGCTACTCAGGAGGCTGAGGCAGGAGAATTGCCTGAACCCAGGAGGCGGAGGTTGCGGTGAGCCGAGATCGCGCCATTGCACTCCAGCCTGGGTAACTAGAGCAAAACTCTGTCTCAAAAAAAAAAAAAAAAAAAAAAAAAAAAGTCAGGGTGACAGAGCAGGAGCACCGTCATCTCAGACAAACACAGCCACTTGAAGTTCCAGCTCCCTTTCTAGCTTCAGGCATTTCAAGGAAATCACTATAAGCAGCCACAAAGAGCACACAGTAAAACACAGAGGATAGAGTCTGGGCACAGAGGGAGGGGGCAAAGTCTCTGGGGTAACTGCCAAACTTCGCCCTTATACAGCTATTTCTCGCCCCAGTGAAACAGTGCGCCTTAGTAAGCACAATTCCTTTCCCTTCAGGTGCTCTAAGATAGGGCAGCTAAAAGCAGACTCGGGGATATGCCTGCAGCTGCAGAAAGATGTATGTGAACAGACACACAACTCTGCCTTGCAGTTAAGCACAACAAAGAGACACAGAAGCAGTCCAAGCCGCTGATAAACTCTCCCACCCTGAATCCTTAAAAACTCTTTTTATTTTTTTTTTTGAGATGGAGTCTTGCTCTGTCACCCAAGCTGGAGTGCAGTGGCATGATCTCAGCTCACTGGAACCTCCACCTCCCATGTTCAAGCAATTCTCCTGCCTCAGCTTCGAGAGTAGCTGAGACTACAGGCACGTGCCACCATGCCCAGCTAATTTTTTGTATTTTTAGTAGAGACAGGTTTTCACAATGTGACCCAGGATGGCCTCAATCTATTGACATTGTGATCCACCTGCCTCAGCCTCCCAAAGGTCTGGGACTAAAGGCATGAGCCACCTTGCCTGGCCCCAAAACTCTTAATCTGTTAGAGAGTGGGCTCTGACCTAACTCAGCCAGATACCCCTCTCAGGTTTGTTTTCTCTAAAATAAACCTGTCTTGACTGGTGAGCCACCTTTCATGTTTCTTTCCTCTTTCTTTAATTCTTTTTCTTTTTCTTTTATTTATTTATTTATTTATTTATTTTTTTTTTTGAGATGAAGTCTCACTCTGTCACCCAGACTGGAGTGCAATGACGCACTCTGGGCTCACTGCAAACTCCAGGGTTCGAGCAATTCTCCTGCCTCAGCCTCCCAAGTAGGTGGGATTACAGTTGGGTGCTACCACACCTGAATAATTTTTGTATTTTTAGGTAGAGACAGGATTTTACCATGTTGGTCAGGCTGGTCTCAAACCCCTGACTTCATGATCTGCCTGCCGCAGCCTCCTAAAGTTCTGAGATTACAGGTGTGAGCCATAGCACCTGGCTCTTTAATTCTTATGAGGAGTGCTGCTGTGCTGTGAACAGGTTTGGGGGCTGGGTATCAGGGGTACTGCTGTGCTTGGGACAGGGGGTCTAAGGTGAGGGTCTGGTTGTCAGGGAGCAGGGGTTCTGCTGTGCTCAGAATAGGGGGAGCAGGGTTGGGGGTTGGGTGTCAGAGGGTAGGGGTACTGCTATGTTCAGGATGGGGGTACAAGGTCGGGGTCTGATTGTCAGAGGGCAGGGGTGCTGCCGTGCTGAGAACAGAAGGAGCAGTGTTGGGGGCTGGGTGTCGGGGGCAGGGTTGCTACAGTGCTGAGGACAGAGGTGGTACATACAGGGCAGGGATCCTGGGCGTTAAAAGGCAGGGGTGATGCGATACTGAGGCCAGGGAGTGCAGGGTGGGGTCTGGCTGTCAGGGGACAGGGGTGTAGCTGTGTGAGGACAGAATGTTCAGAGCATTGGCTGGGCATCAGGGGGTGGGGGTGCAGCTGTGCTGAAGACCAGGTATGCAGGGCAGGGGCTGGGTGTTAGGGCACAAGGGTGCTGCTGTTCTGAGAACTGGGTACAGGATGGTGAGCTGAGTATTGGGGCAGCGGTGCAGCTGTGCTGTGGACAGGGGAACTCCTCAGGTTCATGTATTTTCCAAATAAGGACTTGAGCCCAGACGTTTGTGCACCAGCCCTGTGCTCTTGGTCCCTCCATCTGCCACCTTTCTGCCTTGTCTCATCTTAGTATGGGGTTTGCCTGCACAGTCGGTCTGCGCTGTTTTAAATGCAGCACACAGTATGTGTTCCTCCTAACGAACAACTCACATTCAGGAGGCTTATCCCTGCAGACGGTGGACAGTGGACCATGGGTCAAACATGGAGCCCAGTGGTCCCCAGCCTTTCTGACAACAGGCAGGATTAGTTTCATGGAAGATAATTTTTCAACAGACTGGAGTGGAAGGATGCTTTCAGTATGATTCGAGCACATTCATTGGGCACTTTATTTCTATTATTATTTACCCTGTAATTAATGAAATAATTATACAAATCATCATAATGTAGAGTCATATTGACCATCAGCTAATGTGGCCCAGAATAGACGATGCCGGGCTCATGTAGAGGCCCAGCCTCCAGCACTCAGCCCAGTCATGGTTTCTGTGTGCTCGGCCCAGGAATCGCAGCAAGAGGACAAGGGGACCAAGGGCTTTGCCCGAGGGCCTGAGAGGCAGGGTGAGCCCTTGCCTTCCTCCTAGCAGGGTGTGGGAGGCTCATGCATGAGGTGAGCAAGACAGGCTCGGCTGCGGGGCAGCAGAGGCTCCACGGTGCTCCCGTTGCACCCACTGTAGACAAACATTTTTCTTTGCCTCAGAGGTCTGTGAAAAAACAAGTCAAGGTGGTTGATTTCAGTCCAGATGAATATAAAATGAGCCAAGTTATGGTTTGAGTATTCTTGAAATATGCATTTGGTAGAAACTTACTGTATTTAATTTGCATTGTTACGTACGTGACAGTACTTTCCCTACTTTTCAATATAATGATGCCATGTGATTTTTAAAATGTCCCTTGTTCCCCTTGAGAGTATGTCCTCATAACCAAATTCCCCTAGTCATCTTTAATCTCTAGAGTACAGTTTTTCTGTGACACCTAGGTGGCCTTCTACTGTGTGTGATTAAAGGTACAAATAAGTGTTACCAACATCGGGGGTTCTAAAAATTCATGGTCAGCCGCACAGTGTGCTCCATGAGAGAGCAGGGCACAGCCTCTAAACATGATTTAGAGGAAGAAGGCATGAGGACATCCACGCCATGGGGGTAAGCCAAGGTTGGAAGGTCAGGAGAGTCAGTTCAATGTCATGCCTTGGTGCCACTGCACTCCAGCCTGGTGACAGAGCAAGACTCCGGCTCAAAACAAAATTCTTACTTTAATCTGTTTTTTGTAAGGCAGAAGCTGTCACTGTAGCTTACATTTTATTCCTTAAGTAATTTTTCAATTGTTTTAGTTTTTTTGGATTTTTGTCCAATTATTCTGGAATTTTTATAATTTTGACAGATGTTTTATGCTTTGTATTTTTTTTTTTTTTTTTTTTTTTTTGAGACGGAGTTTCGCTCTTGTTACCCAGGCTGGAGTGCAATGGCGCGATCTCGGCTCACCGCAACCTCCGCCTCCTGGGTTCAGGCAATTCTCCTGCCTCAGCCTCCTGAGTAGCTGGGATTACAGGCACACGCCACCATGCCCGGCTAATTTTTTGTATTTTTAGTAGAGACGGGGTTTCACCATGTTGACCAGGATGGTCTCGATCTCTTGACCTCGTGATCCGCCCGCCTCAGCCTCCCGAAGTGCTGGGATTACAGGCTTGAGCCACCGCGCCCGGCCTTGCTTTGTATTTTCTTAATGACTTTTACCTTAGTTTTTAAAAAATCCATGGTACAGTAAGTTATAGTAAGACATAGTATTTTTATTTTTAGTACTTTATATTCTGTACATATTTTCACATATGTGTTAATGGCAGGGCATGGTGGCTCACACCTGTAATCCCAGCATTTTGGGAGGCCAAGACAGGAGGATCACTTGAGCTGAGGAATTGGAGACCAGCCTGGACAACATAGTGAGACTTCATCCCTACTAAAAAAAAAATATATATATATATATATATGCGCACACACACACACATACACACTAGCTGGTCATGGTGGCTAATTTTTATTTTGACTTATTTATGGTGGCTTATCTTTTATTTTTCATGAAAATGGGGTTTCACCATGTTGCTCAGGCTGGTCTCACACTCCTAGGCTCAAGAGATCATCCCACTTTAGCCTCTCAAAGTGCAGGGATTACAGGTATGAGCAAGACAAGGTTTTTTTTCCAAGATAGAAGACCTAATGAGATCCCTACTCCTGTTTCATCTTTTTTTTTTTTTTTTTTGAGACTGAGTCTTGCACTGTCACCCAAGCTGCAATGCAGTGGTGTGATCTCAGATCACTGCAACCTCTGCCTCCCAGGTTAAAGAAATCTTCCTACCTCAGCCTCCCTCGTAGCTAGGATTAAAGTTTCGTACCAGCACACCAGGCTATTTTTGTATTTTTAATAGAGACAGTGCTTCACCATGTTGGCCAGGCTGGTCTCAAACTCCTAACCTCAGATGATCTGCCAGCCTCGGCTTCCCAAAGTGCTGGGATTATTACAGGCGTGAGCCACCACAGCCAGCCCTCATCTCTCCTCTTGCTTGACAAACCTACGCAGCCTTTTTGACCTGCAGAGCTCTATTCCCCAGAGGATTCTGAGCTGTAGGAGGTAAAAGCCAGGGTCCTTTGTTCCTGCTTTCTACTCTTGGCACTTGCATCTCCTGGGCCAAGCAGGGCTCAGGACCAGAGCGTGACATTCCAGAGCATAAAGAACAAAGTCAGATATTACAAAATGTCATCCTGCTCCACTTAGTTCAGGTCCTTGATCCACTTGGATGCCTCTTTCTAAACTGGACCTGCACTGGGCTATGGGGCTTCCTGCCTGCTGCAGGTTTGGTGGGACAGATACCTTTCTCTGCCCTAGGACTGTATTTGTTTTCAGGTAGTCTGGCCAAAGCAATATTCACTAAACTTTGGGCATTCTTGGATCACCTTTATGAGTCTTGCTATTTTGGCATGCTACATATGAGTTTTTCTTTATTTTTTTAATGTAAGTGTCTTCCTCCTTTTACTTATTTTATTGTGATAAAATTCACATAAAATCCGTTTTGAAGTGTACCATTCAGTGACCTTTATTACGATGTTGTGCAACTATCACCACTATAGTTCCAATTTCTCATCCCAAAAGGAAGCCCCATTGTGTTTCCCCCAACAACACACCCCCCCCCACACACACACACACACGCACACGCACACACACAAACGCCATCCTCCCACCCCTTGGTAACTTAATCTGTTTCTATGAACTTGCCTATTCTGGAATTTTTTTAGAGGTTCTCATTAGGTTGACCTCAAGCTATTGGGCTTAAGGGGACCCTCTCACCTCAGCTTCCTGAGTAGCTGGGACTTCAGGTGTGTGCTAGCATGCTTGGCAATTCTTAATTATTTATTTATTTATTTATTATTTATTTATTTAGAGATCAGGTCTTATTTTGTTACCCAGGCCGGGGTGCAGTGGCGTGATCTCAGCTCACTGTAACCTCCACCTCCTGAGTTCAAGCAATTCTCCTGCCTCAGCCTCGAAAGTAGCTGGGATTACAGGTGCCTGCCATCACGCCCAGCTAATTTTTTTGTATTTTGGTAGAGATGGGGTTTCACCATGTTGTTCAGGTTGGTCTCGAACTCCTGAGCTAAGGTAATCCACCCACCTGTCTCCCAAAGTGCTAGTATTACAGGCACCCGACACGGCTCTCCGCCAACTTTTGGTATTTTGAGTAAAGACGAGGTTTCAGTTTGTTGGCCAGGCTGGCCTTGAACTCCTGACCTCACGTGATCAGCCTGCCTGGGTCTCCCAAAGTGCTGGGATTACAGCCGTGAGCCACCACGACCGGCCCCCACTAAATCTGGATTTTTAATGTGTTATCTCCAAATTCTGAAACCTTGGCAACGAATACAACTTGTAAAAGATTGTGGGTAGAGCGGACCGCATTCTATGGAAGCAGAAAAGGAGGCCTGAGCCAGGCGCGGTGGTTCACGCCTGTAATCCCACCAGTATGGAAGGCTGAGGTGGGAGGATTGCTTAAACCCGGAAGGTCGAGGTTGCAGTGAGCCACGATCGCGCCACTGCACGCCAGCCTGGGTGACAGAGCGAGACCCAGTGTTCAGAAAAAAAAAAAAGGAGGCCTGTAACAGAGACGCGACTCTCCAAAATGCCACACAGGCAAGTGGGGGCCGCACAGCCCAAGGTTTCGAGAGAGTTTCTCTTGGGAATGTAAAATACACTTACCCGAGGACTCCTAGTTTCTAAACCTCCTGATCCTAGAGGCCCAGAGGACCGACCAGATGCAAAGCCCCCGACCCCCCACACGGTTCTCGGCTCCCGCCACACCGTTCTCAGCTCCCGCCGCGCTGCATCGCACCCTCCTTCCCTGGGCGCCACGGTTCCTCCGCCTCCGGGACTTCGCCTCGGTTCTTTGGATAGCTTGCGAGACCATTACCTGCCACTCCACCCAATCTGGGCCCTGCCCGAGGCAAGCCTGGCTTCCACTCCGCGCTCCTGCAGTCACGCGCACACCCTCTTCCACGGCCCCATCGCACTCTCCAGAGACGCGTTGCTTAGGCTGGCATCCCCCGCCGACACCCAGCACCGACGGGTAGTCCCCGAGGCCGCGCAGACCGCCCCCGCCCGCGCGCAGACCCGGCCCACGGAACAGCTAGCGCCACAAGCCCCCGCGGGACCGGGTTAGTCCAGGGACGCGAAGCGCGCGTGCGCAGCGCGGGCTTTATTACGTCACTGCGAGTCCGGAACGCACGGCTGGATCATGAGCACGCCCCGGCTGGCGCCTGCGCGCCTGCGCATCTTCCTCTGCTGGGCGTGCGCCGGCGCCGCCGGAGTCACCTCGAAGTTGAGCTGCTTCTCCAGCAGGTGCATGCGCGCTGTGGTCTCAGTCAGCATGTCCATGAGCAGTTCCTGCTGCAGCTTCAGGTAGTTGTTCTCGTTCAGCAACACCTGGCTCGTGGTCCGCTGCACCTGCGCCTTCCAGCCCGAGACGGTCGGCGCCAACTGGCCCTGCGTCGTCCAGCGGCCGCCGCGGAACTCGAAGGCCTTGTTGCTGAGGCGCATGCGCGGCGCGCCGTAGTCGAGGCCCAGCTCGGCCTGGCGCGTGCTGTAATCCAGCAGGTAGAAGGTGGACAGGGAGGAGAGGCGGCGCAGTGGCGGCCGCCGTGGCGAGAAGCGCCGCGAGATGTGATCGGCCCAAAACTGCCGCAGCTGCTCCCACACGTAGCTGGCATGGCTCGTAGCCAGGCACTCGAAGGTTGCCATGGCGAGTGCCGGGTGGACCTTGTAGGGCACGCAGGTGCTCAGAGGGGAGCCTCGGGAGCGCTGGCGACTGGTGCTGCGCTCTTGCCTCGGGAACCTGGATGTCCAGAATGATGAAGGCGAGCCAGGGGGGCTGCTGGGAGGCAAGAGTATGAGTGAGCAGCTTGCTCAGTACAGGCTGCCTCTCAAACCGCTAGGCCGGTGGCCGTGGCTTAGCCCTGCAGCTAGGGTTGCGGCTGTGGCTATCCAGGTGCTGGCCACCGAGGAGCCTGTCCCTCCACGCTGCACAGGCAGCCATCTCACCTAAACCACCTTACCCAAAGACCACTGAGTGTCAGGCGCTGGGATAAATATGCAGATAAAGGACGCTAGGAGCGCCCTGTTGTCTGAGTTTCAGCTGGAAGACTGAGGGGTAGGGAATGGTAGCAGAGACAAGTAGGTATTTAGACGAGCAGGACTTTGCCAGGTGAGCTGAAGATGGAAAATGGAGAGCAGAAAGGCAGAGGGAAGAGCCAAGCAGGTTTTTTTTTTTTGTTTGTTTTTTGGTTTTTGGTTTTTTTAAACGTAATTTCGCTCTTGTTGTGGCTGGAGTGCAATGGCACGGTCTCTGCTCACTGCAACCTCTGCCTCCCAGCTTCAAACCATTCTCCTGTCCTAGCCTCCAGAGTAGCTGGGATTACAGGCACCTGCCACCATGCCTGGCTAATTTTTTTTGGTATTTTTAGTAGAGATGGGGTTTCACCATGTTTGCCAGGCTGGTCTCGAACTCCTGACCTCAGGTGATCCACCCGCTTCAGCCTCACAAAGTGCTGGGATTACAGGTATGAGCCAACACGCCCGACAGGACTTTCATGTTTCAGATGTGAACACCAGCTTGGATAGGATTGGTGCTGTGAAGAGCAGAAGAGGAAGCTGGGAAGGTGGACCGGGTCACTATGTGAGGGTGCTGTACAGGCAGGCTCAGAAGCTTATACTTTGTTTTGTGGGTAAGAGGGAACTGCTGAAGGATTACAAAGCTAGAGTTAGATCTGGATTCTGGAAACAATCTGGGGGGGTGTCTAGCATAGCCAATAGCATGATTACCCTCATCATTCAGTCAACTAGCATCTGCTCTGTGCCAGGCCCTGATCTTGGAAGGAGGACCTGAAACAGCCTCTGCCTGCCCTCAAGATGCTCCAGATCCAGCTTGGAAGAGAGATGTCTGTGTAGACCATGGTCCAGTGTGTTCACTGACAGCCTGGGGTGTGCACCATGGGCTAGAGCTATGCATAGGGCTCAAAGTAATAGGGATTGTGCACACTAGACATGACTTTTGTTCCAAACAAATTATGCCCTAAGGGAATCCAAAGTTCAGATAACAGACAAGTCCCATTTTGCTTACTTCTCCCTGTACTCCCCCGCCCAGTAAGTACTGATTCTATTATGTGAAAATGGGAGCTATGTGTTTTTGTTTGTTTTTGAGATGGAGTCTTGCTCCGTAGCCCAGGTTGGAGTGCAGTGGCATGATCTCAGCTCACTGCAACCTCCACCTCTGGGGTTCAAGCACTTCAGCCTTCCTAGTAGCTGGGACTACCTGCACATGCCACCACGCCTGGCTAAAATTTTTTTTATTTTTTATTTTTTGAGATGGAGTTTCACTCTTGTTACCCAGGCTGGAGTGCAGTGGTGCGATCTCTGCTCGCCACAACTTCCGGCTCCCGGGTTCAAGCAATTCTCCTGCCTCAGCCTCCTGAGTAGCTGGGATTACAGGCATGTGCCACCATGCCCAGCTAATTTTTGTATTTTAGTAGAGACAGGGTTTCACCATGTTGACCAGGATGGTCTCGATCTCTTGACCTCGTGATCCACCCGCCTCAGCCTCCCGAAGTGCTGGGATTACAAGCATGAGCCACCACGCCCGGCCTAATTTTTTGTATTTTTAGTAGAGATGGGGTTTCACAGTGTTAGCCAGGATGGTCTCAATCTGACCTCGTGATCTGCCTACCTTGGCCTCTCAAAGTGCTGGGATTACAGGCATGAGCCACCATGCCTGACCAAGGAGCTGTGTGTTGTTTTTAATTCCTCTCCTGCCCATGAACAGTGAGAAGAAAAAGAATTGGAGCAGGCTTCCCTCTGTTATACCTTCATTAATTCATAACACACTTGTCCCTCACATATAGCTGGGCAGAGGCTGGATGGTACATGCCATCCCCAAGATGTGGTTCAGGGAGATGGTCTCTGGAAGTCCACATCTAGGCCTACCCTTGAGATTGTATCTTGTCCGAGGACCCTTCCCCACTAGTTCTCACTGTATGTTGTGCCTCACCTGGAAGATGTGGCGGAGTTGCTGAGCTGCCGTCCCAGGCCTGGCCCCATCTCTGACCCACTCAGCTCCTGTCTACCTGCGATGACTCACAATACCTCCAGGCCAGGCTACCCCAGGACAGAAGAGTTGCTGACCTGCGGAGCTGTCAGACAGACCCTGGGCTCTCTGCTGCATGCATTCAGTGCATCATTGATCACGTACTGTGTTTTAGGAACAATTCTAGGGAAGTGAAGAAGATATTGCCCTTATTAAGCTATCATCCTTGGCAGGGGAATGAAGGGGGTGGTCATAAGCAGAGTCCAAGACAGGAATTTGTTCTAGAGGAACTAACAAGATAGTTTCTGAGGAAGCTAACAGAGGGTTAGCTTCCCTAGAAGCAGAGCCTAAGATGAGCATTCTTGCCCGAATGAATTACTGGGGAAGTGCTCTCAGGAGAAGAGGGTGAGGGAAGCAAGACGGCAGGGAAAAAGGCTAAGGCTGAGGCAGAGTGTGGTCTCACATAGAGACTAGCTTCCACTTGCTGTCATGGAGAACTCTGAGCACAAATGGCATCACACTTAGGCCTCCTTAAGTCAAGGGAGCCAGTCATTTGTATCCTTCTACATGTCAGTTATGGCAGGGGCAGTTAAGAGTTATCAGCTAGCACCTAGAGCACCTATGGGATGGGTGCACCACCAGTGATAGGGATTTTGGTGGGGCAACAACAGAGCAGGGAGGAAGATAATAGAATAGATGACGGCGGGGCACAGTGGCTTACACTTGTAATCTTAGCACTTTGGGAGGCCGAGATGGGTGGATCACCTGAGGTCAGGAGTTGGAGACCAGCCTGGCCAACATGGTGAAACCCTGTCTCTAGTAAAACTACAAATACAAAATCAGCCAGGCGTGGTGGCACAGGCCTCTAGTCCCAGCTACTCAGGAGGCTGAGGCAGGAGAATCACTTGAACCTAGGAGGCAGAGGTTGCAGTGAGCCGAGATTGCACCATTGCACTCCATCCTGGATAAAAAGAGCAAAATTCCGTCTCAAAAAAAAAAGAAGAAGAAGAATAGATGAAAATGAAAGGGCAGACTGGCCAACAGGGCAAAACTCCACCTCTACAAAAACCAATTAGCTGGGTGTGGTGGCATGCACCTATAGTCCCAGCTACTCAAGAGTCTGAGGTGGGAGGATCACCTGAGCTCAAGAGGTCAAAGCTGCAGTGAGCAGTCATTGTGCCACTCACTGCACTCCAGCATAGGCGATAGAGACCCTGTGTTAAAAAATAAAAAGAGGGCCGGGCACTGTGTTTCACACCTGTAAATTCCAGCATTTTGAAAGGGCAACAAGAGTTAAACTTCATCCCCTCCTCCACCCAAAAAAATGAATGGCTAAATGAGTAAGAATGCCTAGGCCAGGCATGGTGGCTCACGCCTGTAATCCCAGCACTGGGAGGCTGAGGTGGGCGGATCACAAGGTCAGGAGATAGAGACTATTCTGGCTAACACTGAAACCCTGTCTTTACTAAAAATACGAAAAATTAGCCAGGTGTGGTGGCACACGCCTGGAGTCCCCGCCACTCGGAAGGCTGAGGCAGGAGAATCACTTGAACCCAGGAGGTAGAGCTTATAGTCAGCTGCAATCGCATCACTGCACTCCAGCCTGGGTAACAGAGTGTGACTCCATCTAAAAAAAAAAAAACCCACAAAAACTAGTTGTGATATGTACAGTGAAGAAAACAAAACGGAAATACAGAAAGTGATTTTGGGACAGAGTGAGGGTAGGAACTAATTTAGACGTTGTGCTCAGTGAAGGCCCTTGACATTCATGCTAAAACAATGAGGAGACCCCAGTGCCTTGAAGACGTAGGGGTTCAGGAAGGAAGTAGCTGGACATGTTTCAAGGATAAGCGCCATGTGTGCAGACAGTGGAAGGAAATGAATTCCATCCTACCTGCTAAGCCCATCCACTTGACTTCAAGGGACAGACCCAGCTCCAGGAGAGCTCAAAAGCTGGGGCAGAGCCCAGTGATAGTGCCACCTCCTAGGAAACTTCTGTAATAGTTTTATTGAGGTATAATTAACATAATCAACTACATAAATTTCTAATGAATAATGTGAAGTGTTTTGATAATTTGTTATGTGAAATCATTCCCAAAATCAAAATAATGAAGTTATCCATCTGGAGTTATCCATTACCTCTAGAAGTTTCTTCTGCTCCCATCACTACATACTAATTCGCATTTTCTATATACATACATATATATGTGTGCGTGTGTATATTTATATATCTGTATGTATTTTTTTTTTTTTTTTTGGACAGAGTCTTGCTTTGTTGCCCATGCTGGAGTACAGTGATGGGATCTCTGCTAACTGCAACCTCTGCCCTCCCGGGTAAAAGTAATTCTCCTGCCTCAGCTTCCCAAGTAGCTGGGATTACAGGTGCCTGCCACCATACTGGGCTATTTGTATTTTTAGTAGAGAAATGGTTTTACCATGTTGGCTGGGCTGGTCCGGAACTCCTGGCCTCAAGTGATCTGCCCACCTTGGCCTCCCAAAGTGCTGAGATTGCAGGCGTGGACCACCGCGCCCGCCTCAGTATTTTTTGGCATTGGCTTCTTGCAGCATAATTATTTTAAGATTTATCACTGTTTTTGTATTTATTAACAATTCTTTGTTTTTTATTGCTGAACAGTATTTCATTGTATGGAAACACCACACAATTTGTTTTCCCATTCAGCTGTTGATGCACGTTTGGGTTGTTTCCAGTTTGGGGGCTATTGCAAATAAAACTGCCCTGAACATTTCTGTTGTCTTTGCATGGACATATGCTTTCATTTGTCTTGAGTAAATACCTAGGAGAATGGCTGGGCCATGTGGCAGGTGCTTGTTTACCTTTTTATGAAGCTGCCAAACTTTTTCCAAAATGGTTGCACCACATTCCTACCAACGGTGAGTGAAAGTTTCTGTTTTTTCTGTATCCTGGCCAACACTTGGTTTGGTAAACCTTGTTTTTTAAAAAAAATTGGCTTGGCTGGGCACGGTGGCTCATGCCTGTAATCCCAGCACTTTGGGAGGCCGAGGCGGGTGAATCACGAGGTCAAGAGATCGAGACCATCCTGGTCAACATGG